CTGTAACAGGGGAGCTTTTCACAGCTGCCACCTAGGGGTGTATTGAAATCACCCTGGTCTTTTCCCCAGACCAAATTGCTAGTGCTGCCAGACCCCCTTGGTATGAAGAGAGGAAAGCATCTTCTCAAGGTAAGCTGTGCAAGGGCCAGGTCATCAGGTGTCCTTAACCGATATCCAGGGTGAGTACTGCAAACTAGGACAGTCATAGGATTGAGGAATAGGGAAGGAGGTAGCCCCCATGTAAGAGGGCTGCAAGGCTAACTCTGCCCTGCTCTGCTCTATCTCCTTTTCCCACAACCAGATGTGGATGTCCTTGTGCTACCTCTCATGATCCAGTAGCCATGTGAGTACCAGGGAGCCTGGGTGACCTGTCTCAAAATTCACACCACTGCAGCTTGCCTGCTCACAGTGCTCACATGAGCCGGCTGAAGCTAACAAGCCCTGCCCCTACTGCAAATATGGCTCTGGCCACAGTGCAGACGTATCCCTTGTTCACATGTGTTGCAGCCCATTTCCCGTCAGTGTTTGCAGTCTGTTTCCTATCAATGTTTGCAGTCTGACTGTGGTGTGGCTCTACAAACCCAACAAGACTGTATTATTAGTGTGTGCTTCACAAAGAGAAGCACTGATCAACTGCTCCCAAAACTGTCTCAAGCTCAATTGTCTCATATTAGATTTGATTGCAAATTAGATGTGATTAATTAGCAGAAAGGCAAACAGACACTTGACTGGCTGATATTCCAGTTAATGACTATCAGATCAGCAGATTTAACTGCAAACCCCTAAAGCTACCAGAAAATGAAATGAAGATGCCACTTGTATCCCAGTCACACACAACATCTTTGACATTTTCCCTTTCTCTAGCTCACAAATTGATAGACACTGCCAGTAGGAAACACAAGCAACCTTCCCTGGCTCATCCATCCTGCATGTACACCTCTGGATGCAGCAATTGGTGCCAGGGAAGCCAAACAGGTTTTGTTGTTAGCCCAGGTTGTGGCAATGCCTCTGGGGAGACTGGAGGCCTGGTTATGCACTTGCTTCTCTGAAGGCAGAGGGCAAGGGAGTGCAGGAAGGGTAATGGGGTGTGGGTGCCCTCTCTGAGAGTCTTGCATTGGATTTGCCTGTGTTGCATTCCTGTTGACCCAACTGTATTATTTTCCACCTCCTCTTCATTAAATTGATGCAAAAAGTCCTGTGGATGCTTACTTACAGTTAGGACAGGTTTATTTTAGCTGAAAGGAAAAGTTTTCAGAGGTGACAAAGAGATTTAGGAGCCAAATCTCTCCTGTTTTTGTCCTGATATAAACACTTGAGGTCCCAAACCTCATGATAAAGCACTCCATGGGACTTCAGCTGCTTGTCCAAATCTCTTTGCATTTGATCTAAGGAGATGATTCCTGGGTCCAAGTCACTTGTGAAAGTGAGGTTTAAGCTGCTAGCTCGCTCAGGTTTTTCTGTGCCAGGGTTACCAACAGCAGTGTGCTCTAGTGAGGGGGGTTCTCCTCCCCAGTGCAACAGTTATCTTCCCATTCAGCTTTTGCTTCTCCAGACTAACTGCCTCACACTGCGTCCTCTCCAATGGGCTCTCCCTCCTCTGGGCATCCTTACAGCCCAGCTTAGCCCATTGCGGAGCAGCTTCCTCCTTCTCGAGGGGGGCTCCCCGCACCCTACACACCACCTGGCAAGGTCTCACTTATGTACCATGTCAGTATTTCTGCATGTGGTTTGTAAATCTTTCCTGCTATGCCCAAGGCCAGTTTGCCTTCCCATGCCATGCTCATGACTCTTGGTTACTCTGCAGCTGGCCAGACCATCAGGTCTCCAACTGCAGACCTTGTTAGCAGACATAGCATTCTGTCATCCCAAAGCTCCTGTGCCCATCCAGTTCTTCCCACTGTGACTGTCTGGCAGCACCTCCCAGCTCTTGTCCTCCTGTTTTGCCAGCATATCCCAACCCTTAGTGTCCTGCTCAGTAACAACGTCAGTACGGTCAGGTCCCAGCCTGACCCCCTCAGTTCCCCCAGAATCATCTCCACTGCTCCCTGACCTTTTTGCCCTGGTCATCTCCAGGTTAAAAAGGAATTTCTAAGGCCCAGACAGGTTATAGCCGTGCCATTCCCACTGCTGAGAAAACCAGGTATCTTATTAAAGCCAGACAATTCATTTGTCTGTGGGATCTCCTCTTGGAAGCCTGAGTTACATTTTATCATATCTTTGACTTCTTTTTCCCCAAACCCTTGTAAATGCCCAGTCCTAGTTCCTTCTTCTCCTATTGGATGTAGCCTCCATCAGAGAGACACTTTGCATCCTTGCTGCAGGAACAGCATCACTAATTCCTCCTGAATCAGATCCAGCCACACTCCTATCCCACAGCCCTGCTGATGTGCAGCAAACCTCTGCAGACTTTCCTCTTTCTCTGAACAGCTGTCCCGACATCCTAATGCCTTTGCCCTGAAGTGTCATTGTCCTCCCAGAAAACTGGGAGGGGGCAATTTCTGACCTCCCTGATATTGAAGTAAGAAGCGCTTTAAGGTTGCCTGTACCCCAGCTACACTACTTGAAGAGTTTGTATTAATTTCCTAAGACAACAAGCAACTTTCACTGTCTCTCTACACTCCTTGATCTTCCAGTTCAGACTTTTCCTTCTGCTTTTCAGGCTCTTTTCCTTTTTTGCAGACTTTCCACTCATTCCAGATTTCCTTCTTGGTGCACATGCATTATTTGCTCACTAGCAGAGAAGCCCTACTTTACCAGCCTCTCCCTTGCGCTCAAGAGGGAATTTTCACCTGGTTTTATATCTTTGGCTTCAGGAATTTCCAGCCCTTTTTCATATTTGCCTGCTTGACTTCCCAAATCTATCCTGCAGTAACTAGCTTTTTTCACCTGTAACTAGCTTGTTCACTTTTTCACATGTCCACTTGTGCATGTTCAAAGCCCCCCCCACCGATCTGCTTCTGTTGATCTTCCCACTTAAGCAAATTTTCATTAACTTATGCCCACCCTAATAGAAATGATTTTCTACAGAGAGCTGTTGTATAATAGCCTATTTTTTAGGAACAAATATATATTAAAAAAAAAAACTCATCAGCTTGCTACATGCTGTGATCTGATAAAGACATCAGTGAGATGATATACTGAGGGATATCTGGAACCCCCATTGTAGATCAGCCTGTGATTTATAAATTCCCCCTCCAAAGAGGTACTCTTCCTGGAAGGATTTCCCTCTTAGAGCTTTATACTTGTCCCACTTTGACTGAGGGGTCTATGACAGACTCCCAGGCACTGTCCAGGGAACTTCCTTTCCCTCTTTCCCAAGGTGATTTGGATCCAGGCAGATCTCTCAACAGTGCCTTTCAATCTATTGTGCTGCGCTACCCTTCCACCTCGCCTCGCTTTCTTATCCTTCTTCTAAACAGCTCATGTCCACCTCTGCCTCTGCTCTGGTCCCACCAACTATTTCTCTGAACTCCTAGAACATATGCTTTCATAGGCTGCTCCATGTAGTAGTTTGAGTTCCTCCATACTGCCCTGGTGTGACACCACAACTGTTTCTGCTATTTCTTAAGGACTAGCTGTTTTTCCTGAGCTGAAGGAGACACCAGCCTTTTGCCTGCCTATACTACTTTCCCACTCTTTTTATCCATATAGGTGCTTTCCTTTCCTTTGTGTCTCTCCTACATTCTTATGCCCTTGTTTACCAGCTTCTAATCTTCCAGCACATACCAAACTAAGAGAGTACATGCCTTTCCTTTGACCTCTATTCCCTCCTTGGTTCAAAGCTTGGCACATCATTTCCACCAGCCTTGATCACTCAAGGCTTTTACCTTCCTATTGGCATGCCTTCTTGCACTAGACTGAGACCTTCTTCTTGCTGCCTTGGACATAAATCTCTGATCATCTCCTTCCTGCTCTTCTTTCTGTCTGTGGATTCACTAGCCTTTAGTTCACTCTTAAAATCTTCAATATCTCATCTTCATTTATCCCTGAGCTCCAGTCTCTCATTATGTTCAGCTTTTCCCTTTTTCTCCAGGCTAGTGTCTCTGCTTTTTTTTTTTTTTTACCATTCTCAAATCTGTTTGAACTACACAGTCACTTCCAGATGCCTTTATGATCCTCATATGATCTCCCAGAGGATCCTCCCTGCATTACTTTTTTGGTGTGCCCACAAGGTTAACATATAAAGTGGAGTTTTTGCAGGCAGACCCCTCCTTTGACTGTTATTTTTATGGATTTCTTTTTTTTTTTTTTTTTGGTAAGGGGGTAAAATCTGTTCACATAATCTATGAAGGAGACGGGAAACAGGATGTCTTTCTGTCATTAATTTTGGAGTGACTTATGTATCACTTACTCATAATGTAAAGAGGACTTGCTCCATTGATGGGCAGTAAGAGTTCAGCAAAGCAAAATCCAGCCTTCTGTGTTTTGGGGAATATTTAGACCACTCTTCAATTATGCTTATGAAACCAGGAGGCGAGCGAAGAGCTGCTCTCATTGATTCTTGTTTAACAGTCCCTAGGATCCTTAATGACTGCACTGCTGAGGTTCCTGGGTTTTGGTGTCCTTCAAGTGATGCAGAGTTTTGACACGTTAAACACTAGGTCCTGACCCAGCTCAGAGAGAGACACAGTGAGGTGTCTTTGCTGTGCCTTGTGTTCTCCAAACAAGTACCAGAAGAGCTGGAGCCATTTTAGCCCTGTTAGTCTTGCTGCTGCCAGAGTTCGTTAGCTGCCTTAGAGGTAATTAGCCAGAGAGCAACCCCCATACTAGCCAAAACAGACCAACAGAGGAATGGGAACATATGCATGGAAGTACAGGTATGGGATCCTTTGTGGTTGGCTTGAAGGTCAAAAGTCCACGGGCTGAGACTCAACATCTGTCTCCACAGATGCTTCCCACCCTCAGTGGTCCTGGAGGGAGATGTGATGTGTGCAGGAAGTAATGACATGGCTTCACCCCAAGATACCAGCATAACAAATTTCCTCCTGCTCTTCCTCAAGATGAGCTTTGAATCCCTGCAGTGGGGAAATGTCAGCAGCCCCACTACATTTCTTCTTTTGGGGGTTTCCAATGCCTACAAAGAACAAGTGACCCTCTGCATGGGCTTCTCACTAATTTATCTGGTGACTCTGCTGGGGAATCTCCTCATAATGACCCTTGTCTGGCTGGATGGTCACCTGCATTCCCCCATGTATTACTTCCTGGGCCACCTCTCCTTCCTGGACATCTGCTACTCCTCTGTCACCCTCCCTAAGATCCTCAAGGACTCCTTCTCACCACAGAAGACCATTTCCTTTGTGGGCTGCATTACACAGATCTATTTCTTCCTTTGCTTTGGGGGCTCTGAGTGCATGCTCCTGGCTGCCATGGCCTACGATCGGTATCTGGCCATTTGCCACCCTCTCCACTACTCAGCACTCATGAACAAGAAGATTTGCCTCTGCTTAGTGGCTGCTTCATGGCTGAGCGGCTCGTTCTCATCTCTGATCCAAGCCTTCCTTACAGCCCACTTACCCTTCTGTGGGTCCACTGTGATCGACCACTTGTTCTGTGAGATACCCTTCTTGCTAAAGGCATCCTGCAGCCCTAACACTCACCTCAACAAGGCTGTGTCATATGCTTTAGCTGGGACTATTGCAATGGGCTCTTTCCTCTTCATTCTCATGTCGTATGTTCGCATCACCTGGGCTGTCCTCCAGAGGAGAGCAGGAAGGCAGAAAGCCTTTGCTACCTGCACCTCTCATCTGACCGTGGTGTCCCTGTTCTTTGGTGCCGGGGCCATCACGTACCTGCTTCCTCACTCCAGCTGCTCCAAGGAGATGCATGAGGTCCTTGCCCTGCTGTATGCTGCTGTAACCCCCATGCTGAACCCCATCATCTACAGCTTGAGAAACAGTGAAGTCAAAGGGGCCATCAGGAGGGCCCTGCACAGGGAGGTGTTGAAGCAGGGAGTCTCTGCTTAGGCGCTGCTTGGGCAGCTGCAGAAATCCGCCACAGTGAAGGCGTCACTGCTGAGTTACCGCCACCCTCACCATGTCTGGGTGCCCAATGTAGTTTGGTACAGAAGTGACTTTGGGGCTCCCCTCACGGTCCAGGTGTTTTGGGGTTCACAGTGCTGGGACAGAGGTTCCTCATTCTCACTGATCAATGTGTGGGATGCTCAGGCCCTTTATTTGCTTAGTGGCAACCCAGAGACAGGGTATCTAATCTACAGCATTACTACAGTGCCTTTTTTGCCTTATTTCCCTTTGTGTCTGAAAGTCCCTAGCACAGCTAACTTCAGCACACACTGTGAGCTTTAGGAAGGCCTAGAAAGCCCAGCTAATACAAACACAATCCAGGGCAGATCATCTGTGTTTTATCTGATCTCAGAAGCCAGGTACCATCCTTTTGGTGTGAAGTACTGCAGAGATCTACACCCTCTTGGACCAGCACATCTTTGGAAGGAGAAGGATGACATGCAAAGTCCTCCACAGGTCTGAATAGATTAGGAGGGAGTTTCGTAAAATTGCTAAGCCTTGGCCACAGAAGTTTTCCCTTGTTAGGTCTTATGGTTTTAATCTTTTATCGGCATTAGGCTTTTGCCAAGCTCTCTGGAAAGAGCACTATTTCTAAGCAAAGCCCTTTCTGATGTGAAACACTGTGCAAAGGACAGCAGTAGCACTCTGCTATAAGCACCTCCTGTTAAGTGGTGAATAATCTTGTCTGGGCTGCACTTGCAGACACTGCAGAGCCGGATGTCGTTCTCTTAATGCAATAAAATATGTATAAGCAGGAAAACCATTGTCAGGGGATTGATCTTTGTAGTTTCAGGAATCAGTTAATCCTGGGAACAGACAGCTGCTTCCTCATGCAAAATGGTAGTGATAAGGCACCAGTGTGGGTGGTACCTGAACAAGTTTGAAGAGACCAGATTAATCTGGTTCATGACGTACTTTCAGGAAGATTTCACAGGGGCTTTTGGCACTTTGCAGAGATGAGAAGGGGTTAGCTGATGGTCATGAATAAAAGGAGGTAAAAGAACATTGTGACCACTGCTTAAAGTGTGCAAGAGGATACACCTACAGGCAATGTGAAAAATGTCCTTCTTGGACCTCAGCTGAATTCTGGTTGGTGATTTCTTTACAAATAAGAGTCTGTAAGACTCCTATTTAGCAGAAGTTATGGGAACTGGTTTTCTCTGATTAGAATAAATCCCTTCTCTACTGGAATCAAGACTTCCCCAGTAGGAACCTGAAATATCTTATCCAGTTCGGGTGAGGATGTGGCATGCATCCTCCCAGGCTGAAGCCATTTAGGGAACCCAGTTTGCAGGACAGCTACCACATCAGCTACTCCTTGGGAAATAAAACAGGAATTTTACATTCCTTCCCATCCACAATGCACAAGGTAGGATGAGCTTGTTACTATCAGCAAGGAAACATGGGCAAATCTGATTTCATGACTATTGCTGCCAATTGTAGCTACTCTGATATTTGCTTAAGTATGCACCTCTCAAGGTGACAGGCAGAAAAAAGCAGATAAGAGACCATTTGTGGCAGGGAAGCGGTCAGGCACCACAAGTCCTGTGCATGTTGTATGCTCAGCCTTCATTAATCTGAGTTCCCAATGGGTAGGACCACACTAAGTTATGGATAAATGGAGTTTGCCATACAGAACAGCAGAGTTACTCGAGATGAAAGAAACCTGTATCCCATTTACTTATCTGCTAAGGATTTATCTGTTACGGAAATCACTGCTTTCTCTGGAACACTACATCTGAGTGAAGAAAGAGGTTCCTAACTGCGGCATTGCCTGCTCTGGACTGCTAAAAGCAGCTTCCAGCTGCCAGGAGAAAGCAGAGAGCAATGCTCTTGTTCCAGTCACTGGTGCTGGACTCGTGAAGCCATCTATGTGACGTGGGAAATTTTGGATGATCTTGCAGATAAATCTCTTTTCCAAAATGGCTTTTACCAGAGTGGCATAGATTTATCTGACCACAGTGCGTTATCGGTCCTTACATTCTCGAAAGAAGAGGACAAAGGAGCATACAATGTGTCTACTGTGGCTTGGTGGAAGAAGTCCTCTGCTCTCATTGCCTGGAAGTACCTCAGCCAGGATGGGAACAGGTAGTAATATTGGCCAAGATGATGAAAAAGAGAATAGGTATGGATTGCATGCTATAGTTTTAGACCAAATTATATATGCCAGCTAAACATACTGAATTATATTCATTACTTTATTAGCAAAGAGAAGACTAAGGAAAATGTGTCCTTGATGTTGAAGTGAGTAGGGGAATAATCATGAGGTGGAAAAGGACACAGACAGGTGGAGGTACTCATGCCTTCTTGTCTGAGTCTTTACTGGCAATGCATCTTCTCACCTGACCATGAGAAACCAACTGCTCTCAATGTGATTTGAGGGCCCTCATGTTCAGAAGACTGCTAGGAAGAATCTATCTAGATCTAGCCCCATTCCCTTTTTCTTTGACATCCCAGAATGATTTTAGAGTAGTTGTGGGATCTTGTCCATGAGGATAAGAATTTTCCCCAAACTAGCACCTCAAAAGCACAAAAGAGATGTCTCTTGGAGAAGATGGATCTTGCACACCGTGTGCTGTGTAGCCCCTACATGCCAAACAACTGGAAAGCTCAGAAAAACATGAACCTCCTGGCTGCTCTCCTTTTAGCCTTTTCCTTTCTGCTAAAGATGCCGAACTACAGGTGCAATGTTAATAAAGTGCACATGGGTCCCATGAGTAGTATTAAATAGATCATGCTGCCCAGGTTGAATTTGGTGACTTTGGAAGTTCACTTTACCTCCTGCCCAGCAGTTTTCTTGAAGGTGTGAATGAAATAATGGTGTTTTGCATAAAAGAACCATGTCTTCAGGTAACAGTGTTGTCAGGAAAAATAATGCTTTAGTAGAGCCTTTGATTTTTTGCAACACGTGTTCACTTAATAAGACTGTCCTCCTGGTCTGATGCTGTTTCTTACAAGTATACACAGATGACTGTCTGAAGATGCTGGAGCTAGACTTTGAAAGATCATAATGTGCAGACAAAGTTAGTGGCATTTCAGTTCTCCAAGGTGCTGTACTCTGCTCTGTTTCTTATGGGAATTGGGGGCTCGTATGGTCAGTATTGCAACAAGAAAAGGTCAGGTGTTTCTGGGGGTGAAAGAAGCAGGTTTGGTGAATTGATACTCAGACCTGAAGGGTGAAGACAGCTCCAAAAAGGGCTCTGCAAGGAGGAGATTCCAGGGAAGTAGGTTCTGGACCTACCTGACTGCAGCTAGGAAACATCCACCATTGCTCCAGAAAAAAACAAGACGAGACCAAAAAGGTGTTGTTTTGGGCCCTGCATTACTCTTTGGAGCCTATTATGTTGATCCCATGGAAAGTATCAGTGGAACTGCAGCGGACAGAGAATTTCTCATCCCTCCTCTCCTTGTTCCCTCTTGAGGACCTGAGGGGATCGTTCTGTCCCAGACCTTGGTAGGAACATGCTGTTCGGGTGCACACACAAACAAAAGCAGTGTCAGGTGAGGCCAGAACGAATGATGTTATCTCTACAACGATACTAATCATCACATAAATGGCCAAGAGGGACGGGGGATGGTTTGCTCTGCTGCCTCCAAGGATCTGTGCATAGGGATATAAGCTTGGAGGTCCCTGCGGATCTCATCTTTCTTGTGTGTGTTGCAAGACTGTTGGTTTTTTGCTGGGGGGCAAGAGGGACCGGCTGTGAAGATGAAGGTGATTTTTTTGTTCCTGGAGTTGGCACTTCTGTTGGTGCTTCAGGCCCAGGCCAAAATCTCTCTAAAAGAAGATTTTGATGTTGAAAAGGTAATGTCATTTGAGGAAATTTTCCCTTGGTGGAGGATGGGGAAGCTGTATTGATTGGATACAGTCTTCATGAGGGAGCAGGGGTCAGACAACACTTACCAGAGTATTTTTCAAAGAACCCCAGTTCGTGCTGAAAGTTAAACTCCCTCAGACTTTCCAGCATTTGATAACAAGACATTTGAAAGCCTGAACACTTTAGTAGGGTATTTAGCACACCAGAGAGGGATGCAGAGTACTTGGGTTTGTCCAAGTTGGTGAATTTTGCATCTGGCTAGTTCTTTATGGTAGATCCCTACTCTGCCTTGCAGAAAAGGTGCTTTTTGACCTCCCCCAGTCAGCAGCCTAAGCAGAGAAGGGAACAGCAGGGTTCCTGCTCTATCCCTGAACCTCTCATTGCTTTCCGTATTAATCAAGGCAGAGACATTCTCTCTAGCTTGCTGGGAAGTGGCGTACCATCGCCATAGCTTCTGACTCTGCCTGGATCAAAGACCTTCGGAAGAATGGGAAGATGGCCGTGAGCACTGTAGAACCTCAAAGAACTGGTGAAATAATCATCAAGACGTTAATCCCTGGGTAAGTGTCAATGCAAATGTTCCCATTTGCTATGGCTTCCATATAGGACTCTTCTCCTCCTTGCTCTTCACCTTGGATAGCTCTTGAGTTCTTTATAAAACACAGAAAGAACCACGTGAACCCTGGTGGCATTCATTGCTTCCAGTCCTGGTAACATGAGTGTGCTGCTTTGTGTGGATGGAGCAGAGTTCTCAAGAGCTGGTCTCTAGCCTCCAACCTGGAACAGTGATCAATCAGCTGTAGAAAAATACAGTGGACATGGGAACAAACATCTGCCATGTGGCTGGAGATTTCAGGAGGCAAGACCGGAGGGACTGCTCTCCCACAGCTCTGAGCCCAGCTTCTCCTTCCAACAGCTTCTTCTGCTGTTGGCTCAGACTTGAAGTACAGCCTAGTTTTGTAAACGTGGAACAAAGAACTGTGCAAGGAAACCTTCAGGTCTGGTGGGGGAGACTTGCTCCTTCCAGTTGCAGGTGCATTCAGAGGATTAGTTCATCTGTGGGTTTTTGTAAGGTACCTTCAAGTGGCTAGCGTGATTAAGGACTTAACTATTATTCTCTTGGCTCCACTACCAGACTGCCTCAGGGACTGAAGAAGTGCCACTAAATCACGGAAATTAGACAAAAACACCTTTGTATTTAATCTGTTCTTTACAAGTGCAAAATTGTCTGCAATTCTCATTCTGGAAGCAGGTCTGAAACGAGAAGCCAAAATTGACTAAGATTCTTCTCAGTGGAGAAAACTGATATGGTTTCACATACTTTAAAGACCTAAAGAGCAGCTTCTTCTCCTGTTTAGTACTGGCTAGAGGATCCCACTCAGTTTCCTCTACATTCAGCCCGACAGGGTTGATGAACCTGCTCATCCTAAAAAGGTGTCCAGCCTTGGATATCGAGGGATGGAAAACCCAGCATTCCCTTGACACCTTCCTTCTAGCCACCCCTCAGATTACTAGTTATGCCTTGTGTCTAATTGGAATTGCCTGAGCTCCAGCCCCAGCTGCAGTGTCACGCCTCTTCCAGAAGCTGCTTAGGCTGTGGCAATCAAATGGCCTCTTGAGCTGCTTTTTGAGGAGGCCAAAGGAAATGTAGTGGAGCTGCTCCAACTCAAAGAGTACAGGGAAAACTGAAGGCTTTGCATGCTGTCAGCCAGAGCACAAATGCCTTTATTCACTTTCCAGCCCTGAAAGATGCGAGCAGAGGACAATGGTCCTAAAAAAGACTGATCATCCTGGTCAATACACAAACTCTCGTAAGTACTGGGGCTGCAGGAGGGAGGAAAAGAGAGATCTATCAACTGACCCAGTAGCAGGGTTTAAGTCATTCCCAGAAGAGAAACACCTCCATAGCATGAACATCAATGGGGGCTATTCCCACTCTGCAGGCTAGGGTTTCACTTACTGTCTGGAAGCTAAGTAGATCATCAGGAGCTAGTGATTTCCTGTATAACCCTCTGCATAAACCTGAGGATGAAGCTGGCAGATGTCCCTTAACTGAGCAAACTCCCAGCCCTTGCAAGGTAGACTTGGGGTCTAGCCTGGGGACCCAGCTCTGCCTTGCTCTGGGAATGGCTGTGGGTGGGGCTTTTCTAGTGATGCTAGGTTTGGTGATCACAGAAATGCTGACTGTTCTCTGGGTTTACTACATTCTCAGAGGAGTGAAAAGGTTACTAAAGCATAGGAAATTGTTCTCACTGAGGCATGTGCCATCCCTTTAAGCTCCTGATGCAGACCCATTTTGCAGAGCCTCTGTGAATAAAACCAGTGCCTCAGGGCTCGATCTTGAGGCACCCAGCACTCAGACAGGGGCCTGGCCTCCATCTGGAAGGGCATGGTGCATTCAGGTGCTCTAAAAGTGTGGTAGTTCATAGCACTAAGCCTGTAATCCTTTCCCCAAAGCTTAAAGCACTTTCACTCCCCACCAGGGCAATGGAGCTACACGAAATTAGGCACAGCAGCAGCCCTCATCTTTCTATGAAAGGCTTTTCCCCTTGCCCTGAGCTGCTGTGAAACTGCAGTTCTTTCCTTCCCCCCTTCCTGGGCAACTTTTTGTCGTGGAGGGTCTGACTCACATGGCAATCCTGGGAACATCTCTGCCATGGTAAAGTGTCATTTCCACCCTTCCCAGGTCTCCCATCATTACCAAGCCTCAGAGCTGCTGCAGCCTTGCGGTGGTCCCTGTAAGCACCCTGGTCACAGTGATGTCAGGGATCCTTTCAGAGATAGCATGTCCACCCAGGAAATTTCCTTCCCAGTTGTGGACAGGTCTACAAATCTGTGCTGAGAGCCCGTCTCCCCACACATCTGGGATGGGGCTTGGCTCATCATGGGTTCTGGTAAAGATGCACTCAGATTTGCATTGGGAAGCACACAGGCCAGCTCAGGGGCTGAGCAAACAGTGGAGCCAACTCAGAGCAGTTGGCTCTGCTGGAGTACCCACCAGGCTAGTCACCCTGAGTGCCCATTACCATCCAGCTGCATGTCGCTGGAGCTTCAGTGCATTTCCCTCATCCTCCCGTCTGTCTGACAAGCTGGGCCCTGCATCCAGCTGGGGGGGCGAGCCATTCAGATATGACTCCATCAGGACACAGTGACCCCCTGTCCCTGAGCCCAGCCCACCTCCATGTACCCTCCAGGATCTCTACACTGACCATGCTGCAGCCAGGATTCACAGGTGACGCCCCACAGACCTGTTCCCGTCTGAGGGAGAAAGGTCCCCTTTCTGTGCTGCATGAAGTGGCCACCTCACAGGGTGTCCCAGGAGAGGCTGTCTGGTGGCTACAAGCACCTGCTAGTTTATGTGCTTGTCTGGTTGTTGCTGATGGTAGGTACTGGGTTAATTCAGGAAGATGATGCCCAGGAACATTCTCAGAGAAGCCCTAACCTCTAACAGTAATCACAATAATAAATCTCTAGTAGTAACAGTAACTCTAACAGTAACAACAATAAACACTGGGATAAAATGCTGGGACCCCAAACTCCCTCTTGGTGTTTTTGTTGAATATAGCACTAGGAGGGTCCTCCAAACACCCTCTTGGGGCATATCCTAGATCCTGCAGATCTGGGGTTGTTAAAAGCATGCTTTGTTCCCAAGTCTAAATAAATGACTTTCTTTAGGCTCTTCAGGGCCTTGGAACTCTGATGATGATTTGGAGGAAAGAAGTGGCACTTCTCACAAGCCTGGTAAGAACCAATGTCTGCAGCCCTGAGTCCACCCAGGGCTATAGCATCACCCTGAGAGAGAGACATTGCAAGGCCATGGCTGGCCAGGCCTGTGGAGATGGAAGTCACCACGTCACCCTGTGGCCAGGACTAAGTTGCACTGGCAGTACGGGGCAAGGCTGGTGTGCAGAGAGTTCCCATGCCATGCCCTGCAGTCAGCCGACACTGGGGAGGTGGGGATGTGCAGGGAGCTGGGCTCTGGAGCAGGCTCAAAGCTTGAGCTATGAGGCCAGAAGGGAGGAGGAGAGCATGGCAGCACTACCGTGAAGCCTACACCAGCTTCAGTCAGGCTGGTCAGGAGCCCCACCAGGGTAGGGAATGATGCTGGAGGAGGGTACATTCAAGATAGAAACCTGGCACGCTGGACTGAGCAAGAAATTCCTTTTCCTGAGCCCAGAATTTGCCACAGACAAAAGGTGTGTTAGAGGAAAGAACATTCATGCATTTGCTGGTGGATGTTTCAGGGGAGTGCAGGGAGAGAGGGAGGACACAAGTCTCCCTCAAACGCAGTGCTGTCCCCAGAGCTCTTGGCCCCAGGCTAATTACCAGTGGAAACTAGAATGTGCGTTCTCATGCCAGGATTAGGGCTTGGGAGGTCATTCTTAGCCTCTGGGTTGTCACTGGGGGGTAGCTAGCCCGTGAGGTACAAGGGGAAGAGGCTGCGTGCTTCCCATATGCCCATGGGGAAGGAGACTCTGTCTGTGAGGGAGCTGTGCCCCAGGGAATCAGCAGTACTGGGCTGCCCTGGGCTGGCACAGGGAGCTGAGGCAGGTCATGGGGTATGCAAGGGGTGCAGAGGACAGTGTAGGATGATGAGGGAGAGTGCAAGTGGTGCAGTGGAGGGGTGTAGGGTGTCCAAGGGGTGTGGAAGGGTGATGGGAAAGGGTGTCATGAGCCCTTCACCTCTCCGTTCCTTGTCCAACACCTCCCACTGTGACTTATGGTCCTGTCCAGCAGGGGATGCTGGTCCTATTCCCATCTCCCTGCTCTTGGGCACAGAGCTCTGGCCCTCCAAGCGCCCGAGACCCTCTGCTTTGTTTTGCAGAGGGAGAGCTCAATGACTGTGGCCTGATTGACACTGACTACACCAGCTACACCATCATCTTTGGCCACCGAGACTACAAGGGGCAGAAGATCTCAGTGCTGTTTCTCTATGGTAGGTGTTGGAGAAAGCACATAAAAGTGCAGTGAAATAGGGGGAGGAGAGGAATGCTTGGGGCAGGCTCTCTGCCAAGCCTCTCCAAATAGGACAGAAACTGCCAGACAGCCTACCATCAACATCCCCATCACTCTGGAGGTCTGCAGTATGGCTGGTCTGGCAGCACCCTGAGCTTGCTGAGAGAGGAGAGGGACCTCATAGGACCCACAAAATGTTCCCAGTGCCATCTCCCCTCCAAGCCTGGCACTGCCGACCCTCTGGTGGGTAGCCAGCCTTGCTCCACCAGAGGAGGTTTTTGGCCAGCGTTTCGGTGCAGGCTGCAGGTAGCAGCTGTCTAACTCACTCTCTGTCACCTGCAGGCAGAAATACTGAAGTGAAATCCGGCGTGTTAGAGAAATTCAATGACACCATGAAGGAGGTGGGACTTTCCAAGGAACAGATGGTCATGCTGCCCAAAGCCAGTAAGAGAAACCATCAGCCCCTGCCCATGGGTCTTCCTTGCAGCTGGGACACAACTGTCCTGCATACTCAGGTCTTGCTTACATGGAGCGCAGTAACAGTGCTGAGGTGATGAGAAGCAAAGGGCCCTTCTGTCACCTTCCCATGGCTGCTACATGAAGACCACATGTGAGCACGGCTCACTCAGTGTACAAATGGGCAGCAAGGGTAGAGGTGCCCCAGGATGCTCTGTGCACTGAGCTGGGGCAGGCTCAGCCCTCACGGGGACACAGTCAGCACATGGGGCACAAGGCATAAACGTTAATGAACTGGGTCAGTCTATACAGCGTGCATGGTGGATCTGGGGCTGTGCTGAGCATCCTTTTGGCGGTTGCTGAGCAGCTTTGCCCTGTGCTGAGTTACTCGTTGAGCTTCTCTCTGGAGAAGCACATAGGCCTCATCCTTTGTTTTCTTTTCAGAGGAGTGCAGCCTGCAGTTGGCATAGGTGAGTCAGAGCTTCCTCTCTCCCATCTTTCTGCTGGAACAAGCCCCCAGAGTCCTGCTTTCCCACCCAGAGCCTTGCAGCACAGGGACAAACCAATCCAAAAGGAACCGCTAACCACTTCTCCTGGGGAGAGGCTGAGCACCAGATAAAGCCTAAAAAAGTAACTTTTTTTTTCTTCTGCTGAGTAAACTTAAGTTCTGAAATTTGGCATTAACAAGGTATGTGGAAACAGCCGCTGCTGCCTGGCCCAAATATGCTACTTGAGGTAGCGAAAGGCAGGCTGGAAGGTAGAGCAGTCCTGGGCCCTTTCTCACATGACCGTTAGTGCTGACCATCCCGAGCAGCTCATGCTCTCCGGAAACTAAGCCTCCACATGTCTCTGCCGCACTGGACTGAGCCTGAGTTTTGGGAGGTTGGGAACTAGCGGTCATCTGCAATGGACCAAAACCTCAGAGGTGAAGCTGGGACTACCTTGCTGCTGTGGAGCTGGGCTGAGGTCTGATCCAGGTGAGCAGCAACCGTTGCTCCAGTGATCAGACAATGGGATCAGGGTGTCATAAGGTAATTCAGACTGGAAGGGAGCTTAGTAGGTCTCTAGTCCAACCTCCTGCTCAAAGCAAGGTCAGCTATGGGGTCAGACCAGGTAACTCGTGTTTTCTCAAGTGGGGTCTTGCAAACCTCCAAGGACGGAGACAGCATGGCCTCAGCGGGTCCCTCTCTACATCTCCTAGGAGAGCGGGTCCTGCCTCACCAAGCGCCTCCAGCCCTGCTTGCTCCCGATGGGTCAATGCTCAAGGACCCTGGCTTAGCTCCCTGCTCTGTGGCACTGGCCCCACCATGCTCAGGGTTGGCTCCGGCAGCCCTGCTGTCCCGTGCATGCCAACCTCCCCTCACTCCCAAATAAAGAAATTGCGACCCTCCCCCATGCCTCGGTGTGATGCTGGGAAGCATGGGGAGCCTTGGAGAGGTGTTTTGGGTTCTCAGACGTCCTCTGACGGGAGTATGCAGCATGACGGGGGAGTTTCTCCTCTCCACCTTGCCAAGAATCAGAGACTCCCCTGAACACATGCCAACACCCAGTTATTTCCCATTTGCCTGCACTGTGCCTGCCTGTTCTCTCTGGCCAGCCTCTAGGACTCACCGTCCTGGCAAGACCTTGTCCTTGCCAGGACTGTAGGAGAGGGTAATCCTGAAGAGCAGGGACTTGCGAGGTAGCTCCTGCACGTGGCAAATGGCTCTAGACTGCCCAAAAGATAGCTTGCACCCAGTCAAGCTAGCCCGCAGAACCCTGCTGCCTCTCTGGGCAGACAGGTGCCCTGTCCATGTCCCTCAGGCCATGCCGCAGGCTGTGGGTCACTTCAGTTCTCTGTCCCCAGCATGGCAGCGGGCGCAGCTCTAGGGCCTTGTGGCCATTTGTCTTCCAGCAGGCTCTGCTTGCACCTGCCCTGCACATAGAGCCTGAGCTGCCACCGGCCCCGATGAGCAGCTGCCTTGAGAGCCCACTGCTCCCACTTTGCTCCTTTCCACTGCCCGTTTCCTTTATGACTCTCATCCTCTCTCAATCCATGCAAAGCCTCTGGAAGAGGATGGTGGAGGTGGGGGTGAGGGAGGTGAAGATATCTCACAGCTTGCTTGGCAGTAGTTGCTCCACCATCCCAGCCTGCCTACCCTAGAGATCTCCTCTTCCAAAGCTAACACATCTCCAGCACAGTCCTGGCACCTAGGAGTCCCTGTGGCTCTGGTTTGCACAGTCCTTGCACAGCCCGTCTTCTATTGGGTTTGCTTCTGGACAGATTTATTACTTGTTTTGGGTGGCTCCCTCTTTGTGGTGTCCTGGCCAGCGCTTTCACAGCCACACTAGAGACCCTCTCTCTTGCCTATCAGACCCTCGGCTATGTCAGCTTTGTAATTCCTCACCTCTGCAGAGCACCTGGTCCCTGTGATCCTCTTTACCGACAGGAACTACTACCTGGCTCCGACACTGCGGTCCCCTCCCATCTTGTCTAATCTCAGTAATTCTGGGCTTTCCAATAACTCTGCCACCTCCTGGTGGGTCCTGCTCACCAGACACATCAAAAAAAGTGCCTTCTCCCAGGTAATCACCTGCTTTACAGAAAGCTGGCCTGTGAAATGGTCTTGTAGCTGGTCTGGTCCTGCTCATTGCACTCCAAAAACCAGGGCCTCCCTTTCTTTTTTCACTTGATCAGACTGAAAAATTCACTGCTGCAAGGAATGGGAACAAGGTCAAGACAAATATCAAACTTGACCCAGAGGGACCCTTCAGGTAGGTACGGGAACATCCAGTGTTACAGGTAAATCTCAAATATGGGGCGTTTCTTAGCCTAGAACACCTTGGTCTTAGTCCCGTGTAGTGCAAAATGTTTGAAATATAGAAATAAAGAGAATCCAGTAAAACACAATATTAACCAACCTACACAAGCAAATACAATCTTCTGCCTTCATGCAGCAAGGGCAATGTGTTCGAAAGGGGAAAATATCCAGTAGCTGAGGAGAGATTTGGAGGTCAAGTGGGAGGCACTGAGACACGATGGTCAGTGTGATGGTGAAGAGTAGGCACGTCTGGCCGTTGCAGAAGGATCTGGCTCCCCAGATTGTCAGGTCGCAGGCCCACAGGCGGCACCTGAACAGGTCTGAAAGCTAGGGCATCCCTGGGGCATCCCTGAGACCCAGGATCGGCAGCCGGGGAAAGACCTTACGTCTCAAAAAAAGCACCAGTAAAACAGTAGCTGCAGCCAGCTCTGACATTTGTGTTTCAAGGAGGACATGGAAATGGAGGGAGAACCATAAGAAAGAACGAGGGGTCGAAAAACAAGCCCTACGATATGAGCTTGCCCCAACATACCTGAGTCCTGAGGAGGGGTTTGGAAGATAGCTCAGTCTGTAGATAACTGGTGCTAGGGGCCTTGCCGTGTGATAGAAAAGGGAGGGGCTTTTTCAGCCTTGCAAAGTTGTACGCAGAACTGCTGGCTGCAGCTGAGGCCTGACAAACTCAGCCCTCACAAGAAGATGCAGTTGTCCATCAGGGAGGGAAGTGAAACGCTGCAACAGCTTAAGATCAGTTTGAAAAAATTATCTTTGGTTTCTGAAAGCAATCCCCCAGCTTTCAGCTGCAGAAAGTGGGACCTGAGGCTACCAGGACCCCTTTGGGCTGCACAGTCTCCCCGCGTGTGACTCCTGGAGGGACATTCACCCCCCTGCCCCAGGCCCAGATCCATTCTGGGTGCCTTCCAGCTTTCCACCAGGGCAGGGGCATCCCAGCTCTGGAACTGCCCCCATAGCTGTTGCTACTGTGCAGCTGCCTCATCCGGCCAGCAGTACGGCTTGGTCTTGGCGATGGCAAGCACATTCCTCCGGGCTTCCACTATCAGCCTTGGGCATAGGGAGCAACCCCAAACCCCAGCCTGCCCTCCTGAGGGTTTTCCTAACTCCTTGTCCCTGGATTATGTGATTTCTGAGAGATGGGGGCAGGAGGAGACCCAGCATCCGCTGTTCTTTTTCCCTAGCCTCTGATCTTGGTTTGGCTGCTGGAGCGCCACAGAAATCGCCTCTCTGCTGTTCCAGACTCTTTATCTATTTCTGCGTGCAGGCTGCATTTCCGGTTATGAGATTTGATTTCATCCATCCTGCCCAGCACGCAGAGATAACTCCATGCAAAACAGCAGCATTTCAAAACTAATATTCAAAGCTGCTGTTCAGCACACACAAAAGGGCCCTAGAGAAACAGCACTGGGAAAACGTACATGCTAAAAGGAAGAGTGGTCTGGAGGACAAGAAAGGCCTGGTTTATTTTGCTGCACCGGTGGCCTACCGGGCTAGAAAAGGTTGCGGAGCTCCCAGCGCTCCGGCGCCACGCAGCCTCCCTGCTTTGCAGTTTGGCTGTGAACGGGAACGAATGTGGAGCAGCCCTTTCACTCTGGCCCCAGTGCTGCAGGGGGATCTGCCCCCAGCTCTGGCTCTCCAGCTGCTGGTGGCTGAGCAGGGCAGGCAGCTGGGTGCCAGCAGTGCTGATCAACCCTCTCACTGGCCCAATGCCCTGTCTCTGCCCGGGGTAGAGGGGAGGCACCAGTGGGACTGGCAGTTTCTGTCTTCCAAACTTCTGTTTGGTTTCACCGTTTCACCATCCTGCTCCTCATCCAGGCACCACACTGCGCTGAGACCCGTTATTTCCAGCACTATTATATTGCCTTTAAATTGGCTGCTTGGTTTGCCAGCAGCCCCTTGGGCAACACCATGCCTCACTGCTTGACTCAGTTTACCCACGTTTTGCACGAGACCAGCGCTACCTCACAAAGGATGTGCTCGGACCTCAGTGCCTCCCCCGGCACACGGGCATCCCCCCCGCCTCTGTGGGACGTCCCCAGCCCATGGGAGCCTGTACAGACCTGGGGATCAAGGTCCCTGGGTGACAGAGAAGAGGCACTGGAGAGCTAGGAGACAGGGAGTGCAGGGCGGGGGGGGGTGCAGGCTGCATGGAAAGGGTGGCCCCCAGCAGCAGGG